CGACCAGCCCGCGCCGCCTGCGCGCAGGAGGCTGAGGCTGCCCGCCGATGTGGTGAGGGCGCAGGGTGGCCGGGGCCGTGCGGGGAGGGGAGAAACCGATGGGGTGGGGGCAGGCAGGGGAGGGCTTCTGCAGAGACCTGGCTCGGACGGAGGACACAGACCAGGTGGCTGGTTGCAGAGGGTACACAGAGACCCCAAGTGGAAGACCGGGTCATGGCCTGGGCGGAGATACTGGCTGAGAGGCATTGCAGGAGCTAAGTCCGAGCTGCCAGGCCGGTGTCCTGTGGCCACCGGAAGGAGAGGACTTGCATTGAGGGACGGGGAAGACACTTTGAGTGGGGGAGCCGGGGAGTCTGATGGAGCCGGAGGAAGCCAGAGCTGAGCGGGCTGGTAAATGCCAGGCCCCTCTCTTAACAGGGGTGCTTCCGAGAGGCTGGACTGGGCGCAGCAGGACGTCCTCGTTCTGTAGAGCCAGAACACCATAGGGTCTCGTCACTGGTTCACCTCTGGGGTCCTTTCTCCCAGGTCCCTGGGCCTGGCTCCCCAGCCGCCTCTGGCTCCCCAGAGCACTCCTCTCCAAGCAAGAAGACAAAGAAGGCTGCCCTCTCAGGTCAGCTGCCCAAACTGGCACCCCAGAAGGACAAGGTGAGGAGGCTGGACCAAGGGCTGGGGAGGGGGATATAGGGTAACTGGCTGTCTGACAGCGTCCTGTGTCTACAGGTCTCCTCGAAAGTCACCCTCTCTGAACTCAAGTCATGCCTGCAGCGGGCCCGGGAGCTGGGGGCACGGGCCCAGGGACTGAGGGCAAGTGCCCCTGGGAATGATGCCGGGGAACCCAGTGTGCTGGAGACCCAGGGGCACCCAGCAGAGCCATGGTGAGTTTTGGGTGGGAGGCACCCCAGGAAAGGGTAGGCTAGTGGGAGGCCTGGTAGGGGCAGGGCTGGGCACAGGACTGGAGCTGCTCCATCAGGGAGCCAGCACAGTGAATTGGACGCTCAGATCTTAGTGCCAGTCACTAGCTCTTCACCCTCCATCTAAGAGGGTGCCAATTCCTGCCTCAGTGGACCCTTACGGATTTCAAATGATAGCCCGTGGTGATTGGGCATTTGCTTTCTATCATTGTTTGTCCTCTCCAGGTCCTGTGGTTGTCATGTGCCTCTTAGAGATATGGAAACCAGGGCTTGGGGTGGCCAGGGACATGGTGGAGCTGGGTTTGAAGCCACTCTTTTCTGTCTCCATCCCTGATAGTGCTTATGATGGGGAGCTGGGCATATAGGAATTTGTAAACTGGTATGCAGTGTGTCGTGGGGGCAATTTTGCAAACCCCAGCTCTGGGGTATCCCCGGCTGCTTTGCCAGCCATTGGGTCCTGGAGGGGATGTGGGTCTGATGCTTCTCTCAAGGCCTGGCTCCCTCCCTGCAGTGAAGAGAAGGCACCTGCCTATCAACGCTTCCATGCTCTGGCCCAGCCAGGCCTTCCTGGCCTCGTGCTGCCTTACAAGTACCAGGTGTTGGCTGAGATGTTCCGCAGCATGGACACCATTGTAGGCATGCTCTACAACCGCTCGGAGACCGTGACCTTTGCCAAGGTCAAGCAGGGTGTCCAGGACATGATGCGGAAGTGAGTGGAGTCCCTTGTTGGGTGGGAGCCTTGTCCTACAGTGGAAGCTAACTCACTGACTCCTGACACCCTCATCCCATAGGCGCTTTGAGGAGCGCAATGTGGGCCAGATCAAAACCGTGTATCCTACCTCCTACCGCTTCCGCCAGGAGCGCAACATCCCCACCTTCAAAGACAATGTCAAGAGGTCCGATTACCAGCTCACCATCGAGCCGCTGTTGGATCAGGGTGAGTGTGCCTTGGCTGAGTCCACTCATCTCTGAGCCTTGGTTTCCCCACCTGTGACACTGCATTTTGAACATGGATGTGAGGGCACCAGGCCCCTCGTCTGAGACCTGTGGTGTGGGGCTTGGCGCCCCAGTGGCTCTAGCCCAGGGGCTCGGAGCTCAGGCTTGGACTCTTTCTGCAGAGGGTGGCAACGTGGCCCCCCAGCTCACAGCCTCACGCCTCCTACAGCGGCGACAGGTCTTCAGCCAGAACCTGGTGGAGCGTGTCCGGGAGCACCACAGGGTGAGCTAGTGACCCCACGATGACCAGCTCAGTCCTTGTTGTATGAGGTGTCCCTGTGGTCTGTCCCCCCCTTCAGCGTTGTTGTCACATCTGCCTCTTACCCAGCAGGAAACAGGCCCCCTTGAGAGGCTGTATTCTAGAGCAGCAGTTGCCAACCTTTCGGACCTCAGGGACCACCAGTGGTCCTCGGACCCCTGGTTGGCGACCACTGTTCTAGAGTTCTCTTAAACCACTCACCAAAGCGGGCTGATGTCTCATGTGGATGGGGATTCTGGGCTGGGTGGGGACCCTGGCCCTCAAGTGAGGGGTTCTGACCTGAACACAGGTTTGGGGAACTCAGGGAAGCAGACTCAAGACTTGGGAGGCTTGCGATAACTACAGTGGGTGCTGGTGGGAAGGGAACCTCTACAGCCCCGCTCCACCCCAGTCAGATTTGCCCAGGGTCATCGGGTATCCCCTTCTTGGATAGGTCTTCCTGGCCTCCCTGAATCCCCCCATGGTGGTGCCTGAGGACCGGCTGACACGCTGGCACCCTCGCTTCAACGTGGATGAAGTGCCTGACATCGAGCCTGCTGAGCTGCCCCAGCCACCTACCACAGAGACGCTGGCCACTGCTCAGGAGGTGCTGGCTCGAGCCCGAAGTCTGATGTCATCCAGGGTGAGACTGGCCCCTGTTTCCCAGGGAAGGGTAGCCCGACCCCCATGTGGGCACCCAACAAACTCCATGTGTGGCTGTGGGCCCTGGGGGGTAGTGAGATGTGCCCTCCCTATGTTCAGAGCACTGCCTACCGGCAGGCTCTACATAGAGGTGCCCAGCACAGGTCTTTGATGTGCTGGGATGAACTTGGGCTGGACATACAGGGTCTCCTGGGCAGGGGTCCATCAAATGGGGTGTGAAGGGCCTCCCCTGTGGCTGGGCCAGGAGAGACTTCTGATCTCTCCTCTCTGACCTGATCCAGATGGAGAAGGCTCTGAATGACTTAGCCCTGCGCACAGCTGTGCCCAGCAGCCCTGTGTCCTCCAGCCCGGTACTGCCAGCCACCCCTCCGGCCACTCCACCTGCTCCCCTGAAGGGGGTGTCCCAGGACCTGCTGGAGCGGGTGAGTGTTTGGGGTTCAGGGATGAGGTGGAATGGGGACAGCTGTCCACTGACCACTCTCCATGCCCAATGCAGATCCGGGCCAAGGAGGTGCAGAAGCAGCTGGCACAAATGACGCGGTGCCCAGAGCAGGAGCAGAGGTTGCAGCGGCTTGAGCGGCTGCCCGAATTGGCCCGGGTATTGCGTAGCATCTTTGTGTCAGAGCGCAAGCCAGCACTCACCATGGAGGTGGCCTGCGCCAGGATGGTAGGCAGCTACCGCGTGGCCATGAGCTCAGGTATGTGCAGGGGCAGGGCCACTCTGCATGTCCTGAGTCCCAGATGAGGGTGGGCACCATAAATTTGCACCATTCTCCACACCTGCTTGTGTGCGTTGGGTGGGCACAGTACCCTTGAGATCACCTGAGTCCCTTTAATCCTGCAGCTTGAGGTTGTCTCCCCTTCACAAACCTGGCATTTGCCCTTGAGGTCCTATGAGACCACCCCCTCCCCAAGCCTTCTGGTCCCACAAAGCTGCAGGACACTTCTGCTTCAGGCTCGGGACTGGTGACAAGCTCAGTGGGAGAGCCACCTCCTTGGGAAGGCTGTGCCATCACTGCCCTGGCCCAGTCCTTCTGTCAGTCTACCTACCCCCTTGCCGCTGGGTACACAGATTTGTCTAGCCTGGAGGGAGGTGAGGAAGCAGGGGCTGAAACTAAGGCAGGCTTCTTGACAGAACCCTGAGGTGAGAGCAGCACCTGTGTGTACCCACTTACAGATGTGCACACAGGCCCAGAGGTTTGGGGGGTAGGGGGCAAGCCCCCACCTCACCAGGCCCCTCTCTCTGCAGGGGAGATGGAGCAACACGTGCAGCTCCTCTCTGAGCTGCTGCCTGACTGGCTTAGTCTCCACCGCATCCGAACTGATACCTATGTCAAGCTGGACAAGGCTGCTGATTTGGCGAGTGTCACTGCACAGCTGGCCCGCCTTGCTCGTGCTGAGATGCTGTGAGCCTGATGGCTGCGCACCAACACGCAAACAGGGGCTCAAGGCCCTGGCTTGGCCCTCTGTGCCTGTTTTATTCTCTAAGAATGCATTTGGCTCTCCCATTCCTGATCCACACAAGGGTCAGCAGTTGTACTAGGCTCTGGGGATGGAATTATCTGGCCATTGTGGGTGGTACAACCACCTCCTACAGCATGCTGTCATTAAACTGGTTTCCCTTAGATTTGTCTTTGCTGCACAAAGTGCAGGTATGTGGGGGTAGGGTGGCTTTCCTGGCAGCATGGGTTTGAGCAGTGTGATTGGCAGAATAACACCCCCCCCCCCCCCCCCCAGCACAGGGGTCTTGAGAGTTCATCCTGTATTATCTTAATGGGCCCAGTGTCATCACAGCAGAGGTTGGTGGATGGCATATCACTGACTTTGAAGATGGAGGATAGGGCCATGAGCCAAAGAATGGGGGAACCAGCCCTGTCTACACCTTGGTTTTCAGGATAGTTGGCCCTCTATCTGCCAGTCAGCTAATTAAGCAAAGGGAAAAAGTTACAGTGTTGGTGGGTCCAGGATGGTTACTCTGTACTGAGTACAGAATAATTCCCTAAACAATACAGCATAACCACTACTTACATAGCATTAGGTATTATAATCTAGAAGTAAAATATACAGGAAGATGTGCAGGTTATATGTGAATCGTGTGTATAAATACTCTGATGGAGTCCCCTGTACCTCCCCTGCCTCTTGGTCCTGAGGCCCAGATCCCACCCTGGGCACCTGAAGAAACACCACTCCAGCAGAGTTGATCAATCATGTTCTTATTTCACTGGAAATCTGAGCAGCTTGGGCTTGGCTTTGCCCTGGGCCACCGGCTTCAGGCCTTTGCACTTCCAGAACCTGCAGGAAGGACCCCAGGAGCTGGATGGTAACTCAACCACAGAAATGGATAAAAAGTTCAGGTGGCCCTGACTGGTTTGGCTCAGTGGATGGAGCATCGGCCTGCGGATTCAAGAGTCCTGGGTTTGATTCCGGTCAAGGGCATGTGCCTTGGTTGCGGGCACATCCCCAGTAGGAGGTGTGCAGGAGGCAGCTGATTGGTGTTTTTCTCTTATTGATGTTTCTAACTCTCAATCCCTCTCCCTTCCTCTCTAAAAAATCAATAAAATGTATTAAAAAAAAAAAAGTCCACATGGACAGCAAGTTGTCAAGTGTAGCCACAGAGGCCAGAACTCTTCTTTTTCTAGCTGGTGTGGAGCAGGGTATCAAGGTCACTCATACTGCAGGAGGGAGAAAAAGGGCACGGCCCCCAGCTTCTCTCTGCCTTTCAGCGAGGTCAGCTCCACCACACTCAGGCATTCCAACACCTCGACCCGCAGCTGGCCCAGCAGCTCACAGGCAGCGCGCATGGTTCCTAATGGAAGGGAAGGGAAGGAGTTGGCATGTAATAGGGTCCCATCTGGCAAGCAGGTAAACTAGTGTCAAGGACCTAATCCACTTCTCACACACATAGGGCACTTCCACCCCTCCAAAACTCCCCAGTGCCAAGCCCTCTTCACTCGGGGGAGACCCTCACCACCAGTGGCCAGCAGATCGTCCACGACTACCACTTTCTGCCCTGGTTCCAGGGCATCTGTCTGGATTTCCAGGTCAGCCTGTGGATGGAAAGCAGGCACATGGTTGGTACATCTCTGAGAACAGTGTTGGTGTGCAGAGCCCAGGGGCTAACAAGGGGCTACCACCTGGGCCATGGTTTCAACCCTCCCGGCTGTTTCCTGGCTATGTGAGCCTGGCCCAGTGTCTCGACCTCTCTGAGTTCCCATGTCCACTCCAACCATGGCAGCTCTATTTGATTGTACAACTTTCTCTTCGGGGAAGGAGGGTCCATGGGATCAGCCACCAGCCCTCTCACCTTCCCATATTCCAGCGTGTAGGAGGTGGACACTGTGGGGCCCGGCAGCTTTCCACCTTTCCGGATGAGCACGCAGCCCAAGCCAAGTTCCTGGGCCAGGGAGGGGCCAAACAGAAAGCCTCGAGAGTCCAGGCCTGTTGGTGAGAGCTGGGTTACTGGGAGACAGCCGTGTGGCACAGTAGCATGCGGGTTCCCACAGGTCAGGCTGGAAAATGACAAGTAGTCACTACAATGACACAGGATGCCTGGCCTTGTTGACGCCAGCTAAAAGGCCAATGACGGCCATCTATTTAGGGAATGTTGACTTACCATGCTCAGGGACTGCTGGTTGCTAGAGAGAGGGAAGTTAGGAGGTGGAGCTAGGGACTAAGTCTACACTACATGGTTGAGTAATAGCTGGGTGGCCTTGGGGAAGTCACCTGGCCTCTTTCCAAAGCTCAGCTGTTATCTCTAACTGGGCTGTAATAACTATGAAACATTCAGCACAGGAGCTTCTGAAGGAGAGGCAGTGACAGGGCACGGGCCACCTCTTGCAGTTCCCTGACATGGAACAGGAAGTGTGGTGAGGGGGACACACAACTGAAGAGGGCAACAGCACGCCTGTGCCCCCCAGGCAGTGGGGATCAATGGGAGGGTCAGGGAGTGGGGCTCTCACGGGGAGACCCGACCCCAGAGTCCTCCCTATCTCTGCAGGCCTTCTCCAAGCCCCACACTGGGTCAAGAGTCTGGCACACAGGGGGTGCTCAATGCATGCTTGTAGAAGGAGAACAAGAAACCTCTATGACCCAGTGGAATCTGGTCGGGTACTGCCTGGGGAAATTCCCTTGCTGGAGACCAGGAACTGGGAGGGGGTTTCCCTAAAACCCGCCAGGGCTGCGGAGACGCTAATGCCATCGACCTTGGCACGCACCTCGGCCCCACGGGTATGTTCAGGGTACAAGAAATAAACAGGCGTCTCCAAATCGACACCCTAAGCCCCACAGCCTGCAAGGCGGTACTCACCTGGCAGAAGCCATTCCTCAGGCCGCTGGAGGGGCCTGTAACCCATCTCAGGGCTGCAAAGTAGGGGGCAGCGGTTCCATCCTGACAGCCCACGCTGGGGTGATCAACCATGCACCTAGAGGTAGGGCCCCTGAAGGACTCCCACTATCGGGCCTCCCCTAAGCAGAGATGGAGCCGTCCCTCCCGCCCTCTGCCTGACTCAGGAAAACGAACCCTACACAACCAGCCTCCCGCGGCCTGGCCCAGACCCAGTGACCCCTCCAACTTATGATCCTCCGAGGCGGCCAGAGCCCCCTCACCCCCGACCCTCCACTTGCCCGCGATGTAGTCGATCTTGCCGCCGTGGGTCTTCTTCAGGTGGTTCGCCAGGAGGCTGATGGCCGCGCGGAAGGAGTTGGGGTCCTTCAGGAGGGGCGAGATGTCCCTGGCGCGCAAGCACAGGCCTGGTGACTCCGGGGTCGGGTCTCGGCGTGGGGATGGCGGTCCCCTGGGGCACAGCCCGCTGGCACCCCGACCGCCCCACTCTACGCGCAGGACAACGGCCCAGGCCAGCGGGTCCAACGCCCAGCGGGGCCCTCAGGTCGCCCGGTCCCCGGTGGCCAGCCCGCGCCCGCCCGCGCGCACCTGAACAGCACGCCCGGAGTGGGGAAGTCCGGGAAGCTGCGGATGCGCTGGGCCACTAGCTGCAGCTGGGGGTCCGCCATCGCTGCGACCGCACGTGTGCGCAGGCGGGACAGTTCGGCGGCGCCGAGCCGGAGCGGGGCGGGGCCGCCTGTACGGAGCGGGACGTCTGGGTGGCAGGAAGGACGGGCGGGGCACTCGGGGCGGGGCTGGCCGGCTCCAGTAGGAAGTCCCGTTTTTCATGGAATCTTCGATTTGAAGACGCCGGCTTATTTCTTGTACCCTGAACATACGCGTGGGGCCGAGGCGCGAGCTAGGTCGGTGGCAATAGCGTCTCCGCAGCCCCGCGGGTTTTCGGGGAAACCCTCGCGCGCTTTCGGCCTGCCCCCGAGTGCCAGGCAGGCCCTCCGGGAAGCTTTGGCAGGGATTCCCAGGCCACAGGCGGGTGCTGGCCCTGCCCTCCCGGCTCGCACCGTCTCGCGGCTGCAGCTCCGCTCTCCTGACATCCGGAGGTTCTCTTTGAACTCCTCCTGCGCGGTGCGAGGGCGCGCACACTAGAGGACTTGTGTGCACAGACAGCCGGGCCTTCCCTCCCAGAGCTTGGGGGGGGGGGGGGGAGAGTGGGGTGGGAGGAGTGGAGGAGGCAGGGGAGCGGAGTGGGGAGGGGGTTGAGGACTGTAAGCTATGCTTTCGGAGGGAGCCTGGTACGGCCTGGCTAGGGAAGGGGCCAAACCAGAGGTGGAGGCCTTAGCCAGTGGTCGGCAAACTCATTAGTCAACAGAGCCAATTATCAATAAATTACAATGATTGAAATTTCTTTTGAGAGCCAATTTTTAAAAAATTAAATCTTTATTTTTTTTTATTATATAGGATAGATCTTTGTTTTTTTTTTAAATTAAACCTTTATTGTTCAGATTATTACAGTTGTTCCTCTTTTTTCCCCCATAACTCCCCTCCACCCGGTTCCCACCCCACCCTCCGCCCTCACCCCCCCCTACCCCGCCACTGTCCTCATCCATAGGTGCACGATTTTTGTCCAGTCTTTTCCCCCATCCCCCACACCCCTTTCCCCCCCAAGAATAGTCAGTCCACTCCTATGCCCCTGATTCTATTATAATCACCAGTTTATTCTGTTCATCAGATTATTTATTCACTTGATTTTTAGATTCACTTGTTGATAGATGTGTATTTGTTGTTCATAATTTGTATCTTTACCTTCTTCTTCTTCTTCCTCTTCTTAAAGGATACCTTTCAGCATTTCATATAATACTGGTTTGGTGGTGATGAACTCCTTTAGCTTTTCCTTATCTGTGAAGCTCTTTATCTGACCTTCAATTCTGAATGATAGCTTTGCTGGATAAAGTAATCTTGGTTGTAGGTTCTTGGCATTCATCACTTTGACTATTTCTTGCCACTCCCTTCTGGCCTGCAAAGTTTCTGTTGAGAAATCAGCTGACAGTCGTATGGGTACTCCCTTGTAGGTAACTGACTGTCTTTCTCTTGCTGCTTTTAAGATTCTCTCTTTGTCTTTTGCTCTTGGCATTTTAATTATGATGTGTCTTGGTGTGGTCTTCTTTGGATTCCTTTTGTTTGGGGTTCTCTGCGCTTTCTGGTCTTCTAAGTCTATTTCTTTCACCAGGTAGGGGAAGTTTTCTGTCATTATTTCTTTAAATAGGTTTTCAATATCTTGCTCTCTCTCTTCTTCTGGCACCCCTATAATTCGGATGTTGGTATGCTTGAAGCTGTCCCAGAGGCTCCTTACACTATCTTCATATTTTTGGATTCTTTTTTCATTTTGCTTTTCCTGTTGGGTGTTTTTTGCTTCTTCGTATTTCAAATCTTTGACTTGATTCTTGCGATCCTCTAGTCTGCTGTTGGAACTCTGCATAATATCCTTTATTTCAGTCAGTGTATGCTTAATTTCTAGTTGGTCCTTTTTCATAACCTCGAGGGTCTCAGTAGATTTCTTGAGGATCTCACTACATTTATCGGCGGTCTCACCAGTCTTTTTGAGGGTCTTACTAAATTTATTGGCAGTTTCTGAAAGTTCTTGAAAAACCTTAAAAGTGTGGTTTTGAACTCTATATCCATTCATTTGCTTTCCTCCATTTCTGTCATTTGTGACCTGTTTCTTTGTCTCCGCATTTTTTATGCTTCCCTGTGTTGATAGAGTGGCTTTGTGTGCTAGGTGTCCTATAGGGCCCAGTGGCTCAGCCTCCCCAATTACCTGAGGTGGACACTCTTGGTGCACCCCTTTGTGGGCTTTGTGCAGTCTTGCTGTAGTTAAGCCTTGATTGTTGTAGGTATCACTGGGAGGAATTGACATCCAGGCCAATTGGCTGTGAGAGTCAGCTGTGTCTACGGTGGGAGAACTTCTGTGCTGAAGACACCCTTATGAGGAAAGACTTGTTTCAGTGGGGCTTTGGTGCTCACTGAGTCTGCCCCCTGAGTGTGTCCCTTATGGATCTGAGGAGTTGTAATTGGATGGTCCCACTCTGACCACTGGGTACACTGGCTCTTGGATCTAAGGAGGTGCTAATTTAGCCTCTGCCTGAGGCTACCCAGCAGGAGCTATGAAGAGATCTGTAGATTCCCCTTCCTTGTTTGGGGTTTGGAGGTGCCCAAATGAGGCCCAGCTGTGAAGCAATTCAAGCTGCTGTGGGGCTTTGGGCTTTCTTTTGGAAGTTCTGGGTCTGTCTGGCCCAGCTGCAGTTTGTTAGGTAATTTTCAGATTGCAAAGGGCCAGGGCATTCATATGCAAAAGCCTCTGCCGCAGCTTGGGTGGGGCGGGGTCTCAGGGAATCAACAGGGCGGAGCAAGCAGCTATGGCTGATCCTCAGCCCTGCCCTAAGGGGCCCCCGATTCAGTGTCCCGGTAATTGCTGCAAGCACCTCTGAGAGAAAGCTGCCCTTGAGTTCTGAGTTCTGCCCGCTGCCAGACAGTCCAGTTTCTCCCTGTATGAGACCTGGGTCCCCAGAGACTCACCCGGGACTGGAGTTCAGAGCAGTTGGGGGCTTGTTACTCCCTCCAGATTAAAAAAGACAGCCGCGTCCTCAGTTGCCAGCCCTTGCCACGTGCGCCTCCGTACCTCTGCAGTCCACCTCCGCACCTCCTCTGAGTCTGTGTGCTTTTCTCTTTCCTTCTAGTTGTAGAATTTCCATTCAGCCAGCCTTCCTGTGGTTCTAGATGATGTCTGTTTTGTCTTTTAGTTGTATTTTTGAATTTGTTGTGGAAGGCAGCAATTTCCAGAGTTTACCTATGCCGCCATCTTGGTTTCTCCCCGAGAGCCAAATTTTTTAAACTTAAACTATATAGGTAGGTACATTGTTATTAACTTAATTAGGGTACTGCTAAGGCTTAGGAAGAGCCACACTCAAGGGGCCAAAGAGCCGCATGTAGCTCGCGAGCTGCAGTTTGCTGACCACGGTGGCATATGGTGCCTCATGCCTGGTGCCTGGCTAGCGGTGGGGGTTGGCAGCGGGAGGAAGTCCTTCCCAGCCTTTCTGGACTGGGAAGGGCAGAGGAGGGAGGCTGGAATGCTTGGCCTGGCTGGAAGTCCTCCCGAGAGGACAGTCACTTGTGTCTGTGGAGGAAGCTGAGGGGGCACACACTGCAGCCCCCCATCAGGGTACCCAGGAGGGACAACTTCCCCCAAACAAACTCATTTTAAAATACAAGAGCTAAAATGCATGTTACTTTATTCTAAAACTGTTTTCTTCATAATTTCCCAACTTACAGCAATAGAGCTTTGGCAAGATAATCACCGCAGGTGTGAAAACCCCACTCAGTGGAAGCTCCACGTGGCTTCAGGGCAGGGGCCTTGGGGTCTGCACTTGGTTGCTCAGGCTCTTCTGATTCGGGCCAGTGAAGGGGCTCTTCATGCTTTGCCACATCAGGTGGCAAGGGGAGGAGGGCAGTCAGGATTGCTGTGAGGTGCAGACACACCTCACAATGTGCTGGGTGTAGGGGTCTAGATCCCTAGAAAGGTGGAAAATCCATGATGCTGGCATTATGTCCAGGGAAGCACCAGCATCAGCTGTCCCACTGGGCGGGGGAGGCCTGGGCTATGGAGGATCCAGGTCAGGGAGGCCCTCTGCCCCTCCCCCGCCATGTGGTAGGTGCAGGGAGAGGGGTCTGGGGTGCCCCCTCTGGGCAGCACCAAGGGGTTCAACACAGGATTGGCACAGCCTCTCTTGGCACTGGAGCTGAAGTGCTGAGGGGACAGCTAAGGGCATCCGTGGCGAGTCATGCCCTCTGGGTCCAGGGATGGAGGCCAGGCTCTGAACAAGGCCAGTCTTAAGGTGGTAAGAGCCAAGTGGGAGGATGAGACAGGTGGGCAAACTGAGACCTGTAGGCAGCGCAGCATTCAGCTCAGGTTGATGTAGGGCCTCAGGCTCAAGGCAGCAGAATCAGGTAGGCCGGGAGGAGGGCAGTTGAGGCTCCTCCAGTGTGGAAACCAGACCCTTCCTACCCCCAGCACTTGCAGGGCCTGTGGGAGGCTTGGGCCTGCCTGAGCCTGCACAGGAGCTAGTGGGGCCAGGAACACTTCTCAGGAACAGACTCTGGGGGCGTCAGGCACTTCCCTAACTTTTCACAGCCTGGAGGTGCCCAGTTCTGGAAAATGAAAATCCAGAAAGAGAATGTGCAGTTAATCTACACACTTATGTACTCAGCAGTTTCTAGACTCCTCCCCTGCCCAGGCCCTGGCCTGACAACCTCTGTTATCCAAGGGGACGGTCTGCTAACCGCCTCAATCCCCTGGCCATGTTCCAAGTAGAGCAAATGCCAGGACCTGCGCGCCCCCCGCTGTGACAGAGAAGAAGCTCCACACTCCAGCGAGGGCTGACAGGCTTCATACATCTCATGACTTCCCACCCAAAGCTCTTTGTCAGGAACCCTTTCTCCAGGGAAGAGCTGGCTGTTCAAGGTCCAAGACAGGCTGCATGGGACTGGTCTTCTTGTCAGAGTGATCAGAGAACACCACACTGAGTCCTCACCTGGCTGGCCTGGAAGTGCAGGGGGCCCAGAGGTGAGCTAGAGGGTAGAAGTGTGTGTATAGGGGGTCTGAGCTGAGGGACTGGGTGTGTGGGGCCCAGGGCAGAGCTGGGAGGCTGTAAGTGTGGGGGGCCCAGGGCAGAGCTGGGAGGCTGTAAGTGTGGGGGACC